TGTAGTAGAAGTATTACTGGCATTAGAATAAGTACTAGTAGTAGCAGTAGTGATATTTGTAGGAGTAGTATGAGTAGAAGTTGTAGTTGTAGTAGAAGTATCATTAGTAGTCGAAGTATTAGTAATTAGAAGAAGTAGTAGAAGTAGTAGTATCAGTAGTCATAGTAATAGCTGTAGTAGTGGTCGTAGTATTTAATATAACAGTAGTAGCAGTAGTATTAGTAGTAATAGTAAATACAGTATTTGAAGTAGCAGTAATAGCAGTAGTAGTAGTACTAGTAGCAGTCGTACTAATAGCTGTAGTAATAGTACTGGTAGTAGCATGAATAGCAGTTGTAGTACAAGTAATAGTAGTAGTGGTAGTAATAATATCGATGGTAGCAGTAATAGCAGTAGTAATAGTAGCAACAGCAAAAGTTGAAGTAGTAGTAGTAGTAGTAGTAGCAGCAGTAGTAGTAATACTATAAATATTAGCAGCAGTAGTAGTAATTGTCGCAGTATTAGTAAGAGCATTCATTATTTCAACAAAAAAGCCTAATTTTGAGCGTAACGTTTAAATAAAGTTAATCCATAGGGCTTTTATTTTGAAAGGGTGGGGCTGGGTGGGGGAGAGAGGGGGAGGAGGAGATAGAATCAGAAAGTATGAAACACACAAACGGAGGTTATTAAATGACAGGCTTCATCACAAGCATTCCAGTTAGAATTCACTCTGTGGGCTTTTATTTTGAAATGGGGTGTTGGGGGGGGGGAGATGGACTTATAATGTTAGATAAACACAAGCAGGTTATTAAATGTCAGGCTTCATCGTAAGCATTTCAGTTAGAATTCATTCTGTGGGGCTTTTATTTTAAAATGGAGTGTGTGGGGGGGAGTCCTGTAAAAAGCTGTAAGACCTGAATGACTGTATGAGAGACACACAGAGAGAGAGAGAGAGAGAGACACACACAGAGAGAGAGGAGTGTATGTGTGTCTGTGAGTCTGTGTTTATCAACATCACGAATTAGCTCAATCAGAAACACCTGTGACGTTGCAGCCTTTTAATGGAGATAAAACAGGGAAACACCTCTCAAACAAATCCACAAAACTCCCATAACCGTAGCTCCTATTGCTCCGATATTAATAAATGAGAGGAAGGATGAGTTGAAGAACAGATCCTGTAAAAATTGTGTCTGTAGTGTAAAAAATGTGGCTGAACTGGCGATCTAGAAATGGGGTACCGTGTTCCGTGGAAGATGTTTTTGAAGCAAAATTTAACATTGGTCTCCATGGAGCAGAAAGTTGGTTTTCCTCTCAATTACAGGCTTCTGTGCCAAATGTGTAAATCTGTGGGATTCCACAGTCATTTGTCTACGACAAGGACAAGATTAGCTACTTCTACATCCAGAAATTATGCATGAAGAGTGAAGATTGTGGACACAGTGGCAAAAGACAAATGTCTTTTTCACAAGAATCTCAAGCTGCTCTTCACTCTAGCGGTGACATCACGCACTCTAAGCTGCGCAATACACACCCATTATAAAGTCAGAAAAGGACTGAAAAATCATAAAAGTTAAATTGCTGCAGTTCAGAAAGTGTAAAAGATATAAAAATGCTGAATAATGTGGCAATAGATCAGGGTTTTCTCAACATTTTAAAGTTGAAATGGTGTCTAGCTGAAAATATGAGGAAGTTGAAGGATTTGGAAGTTTAAGAGGATTTGAACATTTTCTCCATTGAAATCCCATTCAAAATAAAAATTGCAAAAAGCTTAATAATTCATGAAGCATAAGAGATAGAAATATGAAAAGTCATAGCATAAATGTCATTAAAGAGCTGAACATTTTGATAGTTGAACGGTTTCTGTAGCTTAAAATATGAAGGAGCAGAAGAGGTGGGACGGAAGAAATATAATAATAAAAAGAAGAATAAAGATTAGGATAACAATGCTTAACAGCATTCCAACAACGAGAAAATGCATTTCCTGCTGAAAATGCGTTGGAATGCTGAAAGCTGAAATGAATCGCAAAAACATTGCTGAAAATAGATATCCAATTTAAAAAATATTGCAAAAAGCTTAATAATTCAAAAAGTTGAAAGATTACAAATATGAAGTCATATCACACCTCTCCTGAAAGAGCTGAACATTTTGATATTCGAACGGTTTCTGTAGCTTAAAAAAAATTCAGCGGTAGTGATATTCATTTTAGTAGTAGTAGTAGAAGTTGTAGTAGAAGTATTATTAGCAGTAGAAGTAATAGTAGCATTTGAATAAGTACTAGTTGTAGCAGTAGTGATATTTGTAGTAGCAGTAGTAGTAGAACTTGTAGTCGAAGTATTAGTAGTAGTAGAAGTATTAGTAATTAGAAGAAGAAGTAGTAGAAGTAGTATCAGTAGTTGTAGTAATAGCTGTAGTAGTGGTCGTAGTATTTAATATAACAGTACTAGTAGTAGAAGAAGTAGTAGTAATAGTAAAGTCAGTTTTTGAAGTAGTAGTAGTACTAGTAGCAGTCGTACTAATAGCTGTAGTAGTAGCAGGAATAGCAGTAGTAGCAGTTGTGGTATAAGTAATAATAGTAGTGGTAGTAATAGCAGTAGTGGTAGTAATAATAGTGATGTATCAGTAATAGCAGTAGTAGTAGTAATAGTAGCAACAGCAAAAGTTGAAGTAGTAGTAGTAGCAGTAGTAGTAGTAGTGATACTAGAAATATTAGTAGCAGTAGTTGTCGCAGTATTAGTAAGAGCATTCATTATTTCAACAAAAAAGCCTAATTTTGAGCTTAACGTTCAAATACAGTTAATCCATGAGGCTTTTATTTTGAAAGGGTGGGACTGGGTGGGGGAGAGGAGACATAATCTTAATATTTGACACACAAACAGAGTTTATTAAATGACAGGCTTCATCACAAACATTTCAGTTAGAATTCACTCTTTGGGGCTTTTATTTTGAAATGGGGTGTGTGCAGGGGGGGAGGGGAGAGGAGACATAATCATAATGTTAGATAAACATAAACAGGTTATTAAATGACAGGCTTCATCACAAGCATGTCAGTTAGAATTCATTTTGTTGGGCCTTTACTTTAAAATGGGGTGGGTGGGGGGGGGGAGTCCTCTAATCTCTAAGACCTGAATGACTGTATGAGAGAGAGAGAGAGAGAGACATACAGAGATAGAGGGAGAGGAGTGCATGTCTGTGATTCTCTGTGTTTATCAACATCACTAATTAGCTTAATCAGAAACACCTGTGTCCTTTCAGCATTCTCATGGAGATTAAACAGGAAATCCTCAAAACTCCCATAACCGTAGCTCCTATTGCTCCGATATTAATAAATGAGAGGAAGGATGAGTTGAAGAACAGATCCTGTAAAAATTGTGTCTGTAGTGTAAAAAATGTGGCTGAACTTGCGATCTAGAAATGGGGTACCGTGTTGTTGGAATGCTGTTAACAATGTTAATGCATTCCAACAATTAAACAGGCATCTACTAGGACACTAGCATTAGCTTTTTGTTCTTGCTAACAACTTCATACATATACATTTTAAACAGAATAAAGACATTTATGATAAAATAACATTTTTCTAGTTTTACATTGGTTGTACCGCCCTGACATGGAAAGTGAACCACTCTACCTATAAGTTGAAAGTAGCTGTTTTTATCAATATTCAAAAGAGATAAAACGTTTTCACTCTGCTATAAAGGTCAGTTGAGGTCCTCTTGATGATGCAATAACCTGTTTACTGTTTTCCACTTTAATTTCATAATAAAAGTCCCATCTTTACAGCTGTGCCACCCTGACATTTGAGAACATTCAAATTGCTGGACAAACGTTTTTAAATTATCGCAACAGCTTAAAACTATTGGTATTTGTATAAATGTGGTTTATTTGAATCGTTTCAACAATAAAAGCATGCCATAGCATTTTATTTTGAATTAATTATCATTTCAATACATTTTTTAATAGTTTTCTTAGTCTGTTCATCTGCTAGGACAGGTGCACCGCCTGACATTTTCAGGGTTTGAACATAAAACATAAAATAATATATATTATTTGATTGTACTGAAAATGTATCAAAACTGGATAGGTTTTATAGAATGAAATGATATATGTCATGAATTAATACAATTATTTTAAAAGGAAATAGTGGACTCGGACACAAAAATATGCATGTCATGTCATTGACCCATTCTACATTAGTCATTGTGTGGAATTTTTGAGAAAAACATTTTTATAGCACCTTAAAAATTTAAAAAATGTGCCATTTGAAGGTACAAATTCAGTTCAGAGTTTTTGCTGAGTAAAATATCTTAATTGACTGTCAGTCAGGTATTATTCATTTCCAGCAACCCTCAAATCAAAGAATAAAGACACTTTACGCACAATTTAGGTGTATTTTCCCTTTAACTCACGAGATGCAGGTAGCATGTTTTATACTTAATGTGAATATAATTCATTTAATCGAATTCCCATTATGCAATATGTATCCTTTGTTGGCATCTTATTCTGAAAACCGGATGTTTGTCTGAAGAAACCGGATGTTGTCTCACATTAATCTTTTCCGCTAACTCTCGATCTGTGCCATTTGAATGCGTTTACCGTGAATTTCAGCATATACTGTAGGTGCACTAACATGTAAGTGTCTGCTGAGTTGACCGCAGTCTCGCAGTCACAGGTTTGATTAAGAAGCGCTTAAGAAGAAAGTTGTTTGAGGTCGTTTTGTTGTTCAGACTACAATGAACATTTATTTAAACCAGATGTTGAATCAGAAACCTAATCAAATATAAACTAGAGTTTATTCTGTGATCCGTCTTCACTCTGGTGTTAAACTCAGTCAGTCAGTCCGATCGGCTGCAGCGTCCAATCACATGACTGATGAACAATGAGGGGGCGTGTCGGCCGTTAAAACACTTCCTGGAAGTCTGTTCTCGTGGGTCCTCGTTCATGGCTCCTCCGAGGTCCCTCCTCGCTCCTCGATCCTCGCTCCTCAGAGCTACATTAGAGCTTTGGGACGGCCGTCAATATGGCGGCGCAGAACAACTTCCGGTTCGAGCGAGAATCGAGGATCGAGGAAACGACAATTAAGAGACTTGGGATGTACCCCCGAACCACCAACATGTTGGTCCCTCCCTCAACACCGTCTCACTTCCTGTCTGTGTGTCATTGGTTCCTACTGAACACGTAAATACTTAAAAAACACAATTCTGTAGTTTTCATCAGTAATTCTTGTAGTTTTTATACAACAAAAAGCAGTAAAATAGAGACTTTGTCCGGGACTACTATGTTTGGTGCTCCAGTAAGTATTTCTACGTGTGAGTCAGAATGAACTGCAGTATGATGATGATGACGTCAGACTATGATGGAGTTCTTCTTCGGTGGTGTAGAACCGGTGGACCCGGGCTCAGGTGGAGTCTCTGGTGGCGGCGGGTCGCCTAAACGACCTGAGGACGAGACTCTGCAGCCGGATGAGCTTCGGCACGGCAGGACTCAGAGCGCCGATGGGAGCCGGATTCAATCGGATCAACGACCTCACCGTCATCCAGTCCACACAGGTCAGATACCAGCTCATACTGGTCCGGTCTCTCACACAGTGTCACCAGATGAAGACGGGTCTGTTCTCTGTCTGTCTTCAGGGTCTACATTCCTACCTGTGCAGGTGCTTTGCAGACTTCAGCAGCAGAGGGGTGGTCGTCGGCTTCGACACCAGAGGACAGGAGGACAGCGGCTGCAGCAGTCAGAGGTGAACCTCTTCATCCTGGAGGAGACCACAGGGCTCAAACTGGTCCCAGTAGAGAAGGACTTCACTCAGTGTTGACGAGAGACGGTCGGACTGTTTGTTTGGAGGACAGAAAGAGGAGCTTATTGTTACGTAGATGTTCAGAGTCACGGCTCTATATTTAGATGAGACTGAAGGAGACTTCTCTTTGAGACAAAACAATAACAAACAGAAAAGGTAAAGAGAAATCTGTTCTTTCTCCATCATGTTGTCAGACACAACAACAACAACCAGCTCTGTTAGTGTGCGGATCGTTGAGTGATCACATCACAGCTGGTTTAGCAGCTGCAGAGTTCTCCTTCAATTCTGGACCAGTTTCTGATTTCTGGTCCTTTTTTTGTGTCAAGAACAAACAACAAACTGGATCCAATACAAAGTAGAACGAGGAACCAACAGAGAAGACGAAAGACCCCCAAAAAAACTCAGGAAAAAAGCAAGAAGAAGTCAATATGGATGAAACCGTGGCTTAGCCCCGCCCCCCCCCGCCCAATACGTATTTCATCCAATTAAATGTGATTTTAGTCAATTAGTGTCGATGCACTTTGTTTTTTTAAGCTAATCTCCGACATCTGGTGGTGCAGCTTTTATTTTGAAAGTGGAGGGACGCTTCTTAAATACATCATAAATATAAAGTCATTACAACGATTACATTCTATTATTCTTGTTTAAAGGTTGGCGAAGTTGACGGCCGCTGTGATGCTCAGCAGAGACGTTTCCGTCCATCTTTTCTCCACATTTGTCCCGACGCCGTTCGTGGTGAGCAAATGGTAACGCATCACTTCCTGTCAGCTGTCCTGTGTGTTGTAGTTTTATTAGTAAAATGTGTGTGCATTTGTCTCGAGCCGTACGCTGTGAAGAAGCTCGGTGCTGCAGCCGGAGTGATGATCACCGCATCACATAATCCTAAAGAGGACAACGGATACAAGGTCAGAAAAACCACCACGAGTCCAGCTGACCACACTGAACAGGTAACTGTTGCTGGTGAAATACGATGAGGGGCCTCAGCTCTGTACCTGTGTCGCCCTCTGCAGGTGTACTGGTGTAACGGCGCTCAGATCTCCTCGCCTCACGATCAGGAGATCCTGCAGAGTATCGAGGAGCAGCTGGAGCCTTGGAGCGCCTCCTGCTGGGAGGAGGAGCTGGTGGAGAGCTGCTCCCTGAGGACCGACCCCCTGACCCAGATCAACAGCTGCTACATGGACGAGCTCACCTCCCTCTGCTTCCACAGGTAAGAAGACTTCTGCAGCTAGTCCCCAGACCTCTGCAACTAGTCCTCAGACCTCTGCTTCTAGTCCCCAGACTTCTGCAGCTCATCCCCAGACCTCTACAACTAGTCCTACGTCCCAGGGTAGTCCTTCTGCGTCCGCGGATAGTCCTATCCTCCGCAGATAGTCCTATCCTCCGCGGTTAGTCCTATCCTCCGCGGTTAGTCCTATCCTCTGCAGGTAGTCCTATCCTCTGCAGGTAGTCCTATCCTCCGCAGGTAGTCCTTCCATCCGCCGCTAGTAGTCCGTCTATCCTCTGCGGGTAGTTCTTCTAACCTAGTCCTTCTATCCTCCTTGGGTAGTCCTACTAACCTCCTTTGGTAGTCCTAACCTCGGCGGGTAATCCTTCTAACCTCGGCGGGTAGTCCTACTATCCTCCGCGGGTAGTCCTTCTATCCTCCGCGGGTAGTCCTACTAACATCCGCGGGTAATCCTTCTATCCTCCGCGGGTAGTCCTTCTATCCTCCGCGGGTAGTCCTTCTATCCTCCACGGGTAGTCCTACTAACCTCCACGGGTAGTCCTTCTATCCTCCGTGGGTAGTCCTACTATCCTAGTCCTTCGATCCTCCGCGGGTCGTCCTTCTATCCTCCGCGGGTAGTCCTACTATGCCCCACGGGTAGTCCTTCTATCCTCCGCGGGTAGTCCTTTTAACCTCTGCGGATAGTCCCCAGTTTGAATGTACTTATTTTAAGTTGCTATATTGTGTGATGTATCTCTTGTGTCTCTCAGAGATCTGAACTCAAGCTGTCCGTTGAAGTTTGTCCACTCGTCCTTCCATGGAGTCGGACACGTCTTCGTCCAGCAGGCTTTCTACGCATTCGGCTTCGCTCCACCAATCCCTGTCCCCGAGCAGAAAGACCCCGACCCCAACTTTTCCTCCGTATGCTGCCCTAACCCAGAGGAGGGAGAGTCGGTCCTGGTACGAAGCAGATCCCAGTTCTTTAATTCAGTGTTTTATTATTTATCTTTCAACATTAATCTCAGATTTTCTTCTTCAGGAGCTTTCTCTTCTTCTGGCAGAACGGGAAAACGCGCGCATTATCCTGGCGACGGATCCCGACGCCGACCGCCTGGCTGTTGCTGAGAAGTCTGACGGGTAAGTGTGACGTTTAGCTCAAAGGCACCTCAGTACTGAGGCTGTCAGGGTTTGTAGTTAACCCGTACCTGCCTTTGTTACAGGTGCGGTTGGAAGGTGTTCACAGGTAATGAGCTGGCTGCACTGTTGGGTTGGTGGATGTTCTTTAATTGGAAGGATGCTCATCCGGATCCTGCAGACACCCAGAAGGTTTACATGTTGGCCACCACCGTGTCCTCCAAGATCCTGCAGACCTTCGCTCGCATCGAGGGGTTCCACTTCGAGGTCAGTTTAGAGTAGAGATCGTATCCCATCTGTTAAAATGATGATGATGATGATGATGAAGGACTGTGTTCAACAGGAAACTCTTCCTGGGTTTAAATGGATCGGCAACAGAATACACGAACTCTCCAAAATGGGAAACAACGTCATATTTGCCTTCGAGGAGTCGATTGGTAACCAACTTTATTTTTCATTGTTTCTTTTTATTTTATGCTCTCAGCTGATTGGCTCTCAGAGTTTCTGTGAGGTAAACCCTCAGTGGAGACTTGAAGGATAAGATGCTGATACACCACGCTGACTGTCAGGTGTTTTTTGTCGCCAGTAGTTTTATTTATATAAAAATATAAAAAAGAATATATGTATAAGATATATATAAATATATATTTATATATAAGATACATATAAATCTGTATATATACATATTTATATACATATATATATTCTATATAAATATATATTTATATATATATATGAATAAAGTTTCCTTTCTTCTTCTACAAGAGAGACACCTTTTCACTACATTACCAATCACACCTGTTTTAGTACCTTTCCTACAGGTGAGTGCAGATGACGAACAAAGACAAAAGTATAATAATAACGTAGCTACAGATATTAGTATTATGTTATGTGGGAGGTAAAGCTGGGACCAGATGTGGGACGGTTCAGATCTTGGAGGTTTCCAGCTGCTGCTTCGTGTCTTCAGGTTTCCTTTGTGGCGGTTTGGTTCCTGAGAAAGACGGTGTGAGCTCGGCGGTGGTCGTGGCTGAAATGGCTGCTTACCTCCACAACAAGAACCTGAGTCTGAACCAGCAGCTGCTCAACATCTACCAGACGTACGTTAACTTCACCATATCTTCTACAGGAGACAGAAATACATCAGGTCAACTATTAATGCAGCTTTTACCTTTTCACGTCTGTGAAACATGATGACACAACAGCAATGTTAACAATTATCTCTTTATTTGTGAGCACTAATGCAATAATTAGGATTAAGAGCTAGTATCTGTGATGTCAGAGTGTTAATAGTTAAATGTGTATATATACATATATATATGTATATATTTATATTATATGTGTACATATATCATATATATCTTTTTTTACAGTTTAATCATCATAGTGTGTAATAAAGTTTTACTGCTGCTGTTCCTTTTGAAGTAACAAGCTCCTGAATATCAATGCAGAGTGTCAGTGAGCAGATATAAAGCAGTAGTGTGTTCAGTGAACGGAGCAGCTTAGAAGCATTTAACGGTGAAGTCATGGCGAGCGGAGGAACTTCAGAAGCCGCGGCGTCATTTAAGTCGCAAGTTTTGGGAGCATTGTGTCTTCCCTGTAACTTGTAACTTACACTGTGGCGTCGTGTCCGTTTCTCCGCTCCCCCTTTTCCACAAATTGGCTTTTTTTTTTTTCTCCAGTTTTGGCCACATTTTTTGCCTTATACTTTTGAGATCCTAGCTGTTCTGATCTGTGTGAATTGAACTAGAAGTACGATGTCAGCCAACACGTACTCTTAGGTTTTTGCGTTCCCCAGACCGCTTAGCCTGCTGGGCTACTACCGGCTCGTTTGTTAGCCCTGGGCTCTGAAGCTAGCTAACGCTACGGAGACCACAGATATAGAGTGTCTACACACGTCAAACTGAAAACGGGACTGTCTGTGAATCAGCTTCCACCTTTGTTAATACCTGGACAAGGCTGTGGACTACGGGCTGGAGCACAATTGTCCACCAGATCTGCTATGGCTCCTCTCACCTCTCCATCTGACTGTGTCAGCTGCGCCCGCCTGGTTGATAAAATCACAGAGCTGGAAGGAAGAATATCCACGCTCTACAGGATCCAGTATGCCGAGAACCTCATGGATACCATCATCTTCGGTCCAGCACAAACCGACACAGCCAGCGACCGTGTGCATGATTCCATCGCTTCCAGTCCTGCTGCCCCTCCTCCGGTCACAGCTCCTGAGGCTTCTTGGCTACGGCTCGGAGCTAAGCCCTGGTCAGCTCCACTCCATCACATCATGAGCCCTGGTCTGTGCTCGCAGCAGCCTGATAGGGAGACATCCCTCTCCTACACCCCATAACTTCGATGTCCAGCTGAAGAATGGATATGACGCCCTTGCCCTACATGACTTCCCTCCTCTGGCTAGGGACTCCCAGCTTCCTACACCATCCCAGCTGCCGCCTCGAGGGACCCACAGCCCCGGGTTCCCCGACATCCCTATGCCAGTCATTACTGAGCACTCCTCTCGCCCCAGGACTCGCCGCTCCATACTGTGCTTTACACCAGCACCGCGGCGAGCTTCGGTCCCCCGTTCTCTCAGTCCTTGCTCGTCCACTTCACCACCACTGGTTAAATCCTCGCCTCCATCCACGCATATTACACGCGCAGTGTTGTCGCCTCGTCCCCTCTTCGCCCCGACGACACCGATAGTCGGGGACTCCATAATCAGGAATACCCGTTTCTTCAACGCGACCACACACTGTTTCCCCGGAGCAACGGCTCACGACATCCTGCTGAAACTGCCTGGCCTGCTGCACGCCCTCCCGTCTACCATTCGGCGAATTATCGTTCATGTGGGAATCAACGATACAGCCCTCCACCAGTCTGAGTTGACCAAGATTGATTTTAAAAATCTTTTACACTTTTTAAACAGCTGTGGACTGTCTGCTCTTATCAGTGGTCCAACTCCAACACTTGGCCGTGGATCACAGCGGTTCAGCAGAGTCCTCAGCCTCCACACTTGGCTCCAGGCCGCCTGCAGGACCAACAACGTGAGGTTCATTGACAATTTTAACCTGTTTTGGGACCACTCTTCCGCTTTTAAGAACGATGGTATTCATTTTAATAAGCTGGGAAGCCGCCTGCTAGCAGCTAATTTACAGCATGCTGTACACTCTTGTCCACATGACTGACTATTTACTTTCCACATACACGCCCCTTCTTCTTCTACGCTGCCACCTCTGAGCACAGTTTCCCGTGACTGCTCCCCCTCCTGGCCTTCTATGTCATCAACCCCTTCAGCTGCAGCTCTCCCCATTCAGACTATTGTGACAGAGAGGCTGCCCCGTTCACACCGCATTCACAAAGCCATAAACAACCTCAGCTACATCCCTCCCAGTGATGTTCATATCGGCTCCCAGCACAAGTTCATCATCTACAACCCCACCTCTGTCAATTCCATCCCGTCTCTGTGGACTCAGCACAGGCGTACAACCACTTCCTCATTACGTCATCATAACAAACAGCACGTGAATGCAGCCAACCTCGGAACCCTCCCCAAAACCTCACAACCAATCACAAAACACTCCATGAAGCTTGCTCTGTTCAACACCCGGTCACTAAGCAACAAAAGCCCAATCATCAACGAATTCATCACTGACAACAACCTTGATATCCTCTGTCTCACTGAAACTTGGCAAAAACACCTGGATTACTACGCACTCAATCAAACCATCGCAACTGGATATCATTACCTGGATAAACCACGCCCTGATGGCCGCGGTGGAGGAATTGCCGCTCTTCACCGCCAACACATCAAAACCAGCCTGACTAACATCGAAAGTCCACCCTCATTTGAACAGCTCATATTCAAACTCTCTGGTCCTAAACCCCTGGTCATTGCAATTATCTACCGCCCCCCCAAACCCAACCCTGCCTTCCTCTCTGACCTATTTGAATTCCTCACCCAGCTCTGCTCCGTCTCACCTTCCATCATGTTGCTTGGTGATTTCAACATCCGCATCGACTCCTCAGACTGTAAAACTGCCACAGAATTTCTGGACCTGCTTAAATGCTTCAACTTCACTCAACACATCGACTTCCCCACCCACAACCGCAGTCACATCCTGGACCTGGTCTGCTCCACTGAAATCACCATCAACCACCTCTCCGGCTATGACCTCACCATCTCCGACCATCTAGCCATCATCATGGAGATCGACATCCCTATCCCAGAACCCAAACTCACGCGCACCATCACTCTCCGTAATATCAAGTCTGTCTGCCCCTCATCCCTGTCAGCCTGTCTCACTGAAAAATTCTCCACACTCACCCCCTCCCTTAGCCCCTCCCCCTCAGACCTGGTCAACCTCTACAATAACACACTATCCTCCTGCCTAGATCAGCTTGCCCCTCTCAAAACCACAACTGTCTCTTCCACCCACACTGCTCCCTGGTTCACCCCTGAACTCCGCCTCATGAAATCCCGGAAACGCAGACTAGAGCGCCTCTCCAAAAAAACCGGCCTCACAGTTCACACCCTGGCTTACAAGGAACACATACAGCAATACAATACTGGCTCTAAACTCTGCTCGCTCCACCTACTACTCTGGCATCATCCACTCTGGTTCCGCCAACCCAAAGGTCCTCTTCTCCACAATAAACAAACTCCTCAAACCTATGGACAATCTCTCCCACTCCTCCACAGCAGAGAAATGCAACTCCTTCCTGACGTTCTACAAGGCTAAAATTGACACCATCTACAACCAACTGGCCACTTCCAGCCCCGCTTCGTCCAACCCTGTATCTGCAAATCCTCCACTAACTGACCGGTCACTCTCCCGATTCTCTCTCATCTCCCCCTCGGATCTCAATAAATCACTCTCTGGCATGAAGACTCCGACCTGTGACCTCGACCCTATCCCTTCCACTTTAGTTATGGCCTGTCTGCCGGCCCTCCGCCCGCTCCTCCTCTCTGTCATCAACTCCTCCCTGTCTACTGGCTCCGTCCCTCCCGCCCTCAAACTCGCCTCAGTCACACCCATCCTCAAAAAACCTGGCCTTGACCCCGACGTTCACAACAATTACAGACCCATCTCCAATCTCCCTTTTCTGTCTAAAATACTGGAACGCACTGTTGCCCATCAACTGAAAACCCACCTGGACTCAAACCAACTGTATGAACCATTTCAATCCGGATTCAGATCTCATCACAGCACAGAAACTGCCCTCATCAAAGTCACCAACGACCTCCTCTCCTCTGATGACCACTCCCTCAACATCCTGATACTGCTCGACCTCAGCGCAGCCTTCGACACCATCAACCACTCCATCCTCCTTTCCCGTCTTGAGTCCTCCCTCCACATCACTGGCACAGCCCTCTCCTGGTTTAAATCATACCTCTCTGACCGTGAACAGTTCATCACCATCAACAAATTCAAGTCTGACACAGCCCCAGTCTCTCAAGGTGTCCCACAAGGTTCAGTACTCGGTCCCCTCCTCTTCATCCTCTACCTGCCCCCCTTTGGCGACATCATACACCACCATGGCCTCCACTTCCACTGCTACGCTGACGACACCCAGCTCTACATCTCCACCAAGTCCATCACCCCCACCATCCACTCCACCATCACCAACTGCCTCACAGACATAAAAACCTGGATGCAAGCAAACTTCCTCAAACTCAACACCGACAAATCTGAAGTCCTCATCATCGGCCCCAAATCATTAAACAATTCCCACCACAACTTCTCCCTCTACATCGATGGCACCACTGTTCCTGCCTCCACACATGTCCGTAACCTTGGGATCATTTTCGATCAAACTCTCTCCTATGAACGACACATCAATCACATCAGAAAAACTGCCTTCTTCCATCTCAAAAACATCGCCCGTCTCCGTCCCTCCCTCTCCTCCGCAGCCGCTGAAACACTCATCCACGCCTTCATCACCTCTCGACTGGACTACTGCAACAGCATCCTGTACGGCTCACCCACCAAAATCATCAACAGTCTACAATACATCCAAAACTCAGCTGCCTGTCTGCTCTCCCACTCCCGCACCAGAGACTACATCACCCCAGTCCTTCAAAACCTCCACTGGCTCCCCATACAGCAAAGAATCCAGTTCAAGATTCTCCTCATCACTTACAAAGCCCTCCACAACCTCGCCCCTTCATACCTTTCAGACCTCCTGCACCGTCACACTCCCAACCGCAACCTCAGATCCGCCGACGCCAACCTCCTTACCCCCCCTACTCTGTCCAAGCATCGGACCTGGGGGGACAGGGCCTTCTCCGTTGCCCCCCTCCCTCTGGAACTCCCTGCCCCAACACCTCAGACATTCTCCGTCACTCACCACTTTCAAAACTGCACTTAAAACTCACCTATTCAAATCTGCTTTTAACCTCTAAAATCAGTCATGTATGTTTTCTTTCTTTCTCTTCGTGTTTATTTTTCTTTCTTACTGTTATGTCATAGATTTTGTTCTTATTATAAATGCTTTTATTGTTTCTGTTTTTACCATGTAATTTGTCTTTGAGTGCCTTTTAAAGCGCTATATAAATAAAATGTATTATTATTATTATTATTATTATTATTATAAGGGCGGTGGACAAAACCATTACTGTATGTAGGCGTTGTTTAAAGAGAAAGACATCGGGCGTGTCCACACATATGAAGAGACGCCATCCTGGTCTGTCAGCGACGGGGGCCAAGGCACAACAACAACAACAACAACAACAACAAGGTATCATCGCGACATTGAAGAAAGCGTTTGTGTAGAATCAGACCGGGCTGAAGCTATCACAACATCTATTGAGGTCTTTATTGCTGCAGACATGATGCCATTCTCTGTTGTGGAAAACAAAGGATTTCAAAATCTGGTTAAAGTGCTTGAGCCACGCTACGAAATCCACTCACACACCACTTCAGTGTGAAGATCGTTCCTCTATGAAGAGCAAGAGATCAGTCTCTGTCTGTGAGAGTCACACAGACAGGTGCTGTAGTCACGCCCCCTTTCCCCAGATAATGTAGATATATTCTCATCTTTCTGAAAATAAATATCTTCAATATTTTAGTTTTTATGTCAGACTATAGTCCAAAGTTCTTTGCTTTAAGTGTTCTTGAAGTTCTTTAATTAATAAATGGAAAGCAAAGTTGTATTTGTCTCCTCCCCTTTTCTTTGCTGATCCGATATATATGTATATATTTATATTATATATATATATATAATATACACACACACGTCTATGTGGCCTCCACATAAATCAGACATAATGTATAAATGAAACCTTCCTGCAATAAATTATGAAACATATTTGATTACTTAATAAATCTTTATTGTCCACTTTCGTGACTGATTAAAAATAAAGATTTAGTTTTACACAAGAGTTTAAGTGATGAGGTTAAAGTACTAATATTAAGTGTATTTAAATATCACATATTAGATAAACGTGTTGCCATGAGACCAAACTCTAATGAAACGTGTGAATCTGAACTAAACCAATAGGTTCTTCTGTAATATTTGAGTTGCGCCTCATTAGATTTGATCCTCACTTGATGGGAGGACTAAACCCTTCAGCCACTAGAGGGCAGCAGCTGTGCTTCTATTGATTTGGTCTTGAGGAGATTTTAGAAGTTGTTTAGGAAGTTCTTATTTTTTATATTCTTTAGATTTCTCGCCCTCAGAATCACAGTTCTAGAAGATTTATTCTACATTCTCTTCTCTTATTTTGACAGTTGTCTCTGTTGTGACTTCCCGTCTCCAGGTACGGTCACCACGTGTCTCAGACCTCCTACGTGGTCTGTGACGACCCCACCACCATCCAGACCATCTTCTGCCGGATCAGAAACTTCAACTGCGAAGCTTCGTACCCGAAGACGTGCGGCGGCGTCCGGATCGTCCACGTCAGAGATGTCACCACGGGGTACGACAGCAGCCGGCCAGACCTCCGATCGGTAGGAACGCAGCGATTGATCAATGAAGTTCTGTGAGAAGGTGCAACGTCTTTAGAAGTACTTGTAGTCAACGTGTCGTTCTTCTCCTGTGGAGGTACTTCCTGTGACGAGGAGCAGTCACATGATCACCTTCACTCTGCAGAACGGCGTCGTGGCAACGCTGAGAACCAGCGGCACCGAACCCAAAATCAAGTGCTACACCGAGTACTGCGCAGCACCGGGGACCAGGTCAGTTGCAGTACACAGAGCACCGAGTACTGCTGGTTTCAGAGTACAACTCTAAAGTACACGTGTTGCTTCTGGTCCAGAGGCGTGGTTCTGGTTCCTCTTCACAGGTCCTCAATCTATAGATATTATAGATTATATATATATAATCTATAATATCTATAATCTACATAATCTATAATATATATAATCTATAATCTATAATCTATATCTATATAATCTATATCTATAATATCTATATAATATATACATTCTATACCAGGGGTCTTCAACGTTTTTCAGGCCAAGGACCCCCGACTATATATATTGTATAAAGTTGTGTTTTATATTAAATGGGCCTAGTGCCATGTATAAATTTACCTCTTTATTGTGCATTCAATATTAAGCTATTCAAATAATACACAGGTTCATATATTCATGTTGTTATTTAAGTGAGTAGGGAGGCCGTGCCACTGCCACATACCGTGTCCACCAGTGGTGGGCCGTCAGGGCCTGCAAGGCCTTCTCTGCTGGCCTAAACAGAATCACAAAGCTATATTTATTTTATAATTTAATAATTTTTCTTAAATACACTACATGTATTATAATTTATAAACATATTTGTCCCATTATCTTATGTTCTCAATGCACAGCTACTGTCTTCCTCAGTTGCTCTGCTTCCAGTGCAGCTTGTTTTAAGTAGAGCTTTTATCCAATCAGATCTCACCTCTGTGTCTCTAGGTAAGAAGAGAGGCAGAGGCCTGCAGACTCACAAGTGAATCCATGTGCAGTTTAAGTGAATGGGGACGATGTTGTTGATTGTCACAGTGTTCAACCAATCAGATCTTTAGTTTGACATGTTGGGCGTATTCTTTGACGTATCAGCACCTGCTAGCTGGCCTATAATGACGTCAGCATTACATGCAGCTCAGTGTCCAGGTACAGCTCTGCAGTGAGGTGCAGCGTGTGCTGTGATTGGTCAGTGGGCGAGCACGTGACTATCGTGAACTGAAACTTAACAGCAGAGCTTAGTTGGAGGAGTAAGAGTTCAGATTGAAAGATATGGAACAAATTATGACATTCTTAGGGTTTTGCTTGCTGTAGATTATTCATTTTTTTTACTAGCTTTGTTTTTTTATCACTCAATGGCTGAATAAGGAGGAGAAACGGATTTAGTGGCGGAGTTACTGACAACGCCTTTCTCAAGAAGGACATTTCAGGAAAAGCTGGACATCTATCAAAGGGTCAGTCAACCCCACAGCTGGCAGCCTGACTCAGCCAGGAAAAGGATTCGTATGAACGGTATTTCTTGCTGACAGCGTCGGAGAAGCGTTGCACATTTTATGGGAATGTGTTTCATTTTAACTGAGCTCTTGGTGTTTGGAGCTAAGCTACGCTAACCTGAGGACACCATAGCATGGCAGTACACAAGCTACAGTGCTTTTGAAAACTTTTGGAGAGACTCGAGTGGATCTACAACTCAACGAACATGTTTGCAGGGAAACAGCTCCACAATCGCGGCCCGGCGAGCGGCCTGCGTCGGCCAGCGGGTGCCCCGGCGGTGGTGGGATCCCGGCCCCGCTGTGTACACCGGAGAAATACAACTGGGGAGGCTCGACTATCATCACTGGTGTGCATGAATCGAGACGGACTTCTTACTGGAACTGAAACGATGTACTGGGATTAAACTCTTTGTTCACAAAGAAAGGAGGATGGACTTTTTCTTTAAGTGAACAGCAGCTGTGGTAAGTGAAGTGCTTTTGTGTTTTTACATCTGCAGTAGCGTTACTATAAGTTCATTTGTCTGTCGTGTCGTTCTTATGAATTATATGAATAGTATGAATAGTATGAATGGCTCGTGCTCTAGCGCTGCAGGGCTGCTGGATTGATTTGTTGCTTTGTTAATATATGTGACTGGTTCTTGTGAGTTTGTTCTTGTCATTGTGTTAATTACATTGATTTGGACTATATGCATTATCCGTTAATTACGAAGCATCCCGTCATGCGCAGGGTTATTGTCCGGACAATTGAATTCGTCCGGGCTGTTGTTTCCCCGCTAAGCTAGTTAGCTTAGCCTACCTGAAGACATGTGCGGTGCCGCCGCCTCAGCTGTTTTTTGTTATTGTTCCGGGTTCAGAGGTCACAGCCCGTTGTCTCCTACGTGAGCCCAGTCCACCGAAAACATTATATTTCCCACAATTTAAGCTTCTGCATTTTCCAAATGCACGTGTATTATTCAAACGTATTGTTCAGTTCGTAAGCCTCGTACCGAACGGTTTAATATGAATACGTGTATTATTACACCATAGAAACACATCCGTAGCTGTGGCTCATAATGAGGTTAGTAGGAGATGGCTCAAGTGTAGTAGGACCGCTCAGAAGGCCCAGGTATAAAATGCACGGCCCACCACTGGTGTCAACTGATACCAATGCCAATATCAACATTGTCTGTTAATAGCACGATAATCATGCATACAAGCTATTCAGACTGATGTTTTCATTTTAAACATAAATGTGGAAACATAAATGAGTGATGGCCTATTAGTGCCACTGCCATGCATAAACACACCTGTTATCTTTCACACAATACTGAACTATTAACATAATGGACACATTCATGTTTTTCGGTCGAGTTACAGAACGATCCATCTTCGTTCATAACGATCACTGATAATAATAAACTGGCCTCAGTAGCTGCTGTTGTGTAAAGCAGCTGCAGTGATTTAGCAGGAATATTAATAAGGATTCGTGGTGAAGTAAATGTTTTACTATTCTTATTATCACTATTATTGTTATAATTTTTTACTATTTTTTATTATTATATTGTTGTTGCTATTATTATTTTTTATTTATAATTATCATCATCGTTGTTGTTGTTGTTGTTGTTGTTATTGTCGTCTTTGTGCTGCAGCGAGGCATCCTGTCTGGAGGCGGAGCTACGGAGGATCACAGCCGCCCTGCTGGATGAGTTCCTGGAGCCCGAGAGGAACAACCTGAATCGCCGCTGTGTCTAGCTCCGCCCCCCCGAGCTGTTTCCTGTTGATGATGTCACATCCTGTCCTTTCTGTGGTGTGGATTAAACAGATCAATAGATATCAATGGTTGTCCTCCATACAGCAGAGAGCATCATGGGAAACCAAACAGAGATAATGTTCCTTTCAGTTTGATTGGTTATCAAGTATTAATAAATGTATTTTCATAGAAAGAAAAAATACATATAAACAGTTTGTTTTCTGTACGTTGGCCTGCTGCTGCCAAATGATTCTGTTCTGAGAAACTTTATATTAAACAAAATAAATGAAGTCGTTAGAAGATATTTATGAAACATTTCTGACTTTGAGGAGATATTTTGATTTCCAACAAACTGAAGAAGAAGAAGAAGAAACAATTATTTGATTGTCTTGTTTGTTTCTCTAGTTTCTTTTTCTTCTTCTGTGGTTTGATGCCTTTCTCCGAATCATCACGTAACTCCAGCTGATGGAAACAAAAGTTTGGAAACTAGTAAAAGTGAATTATATTTAAGTATCAAAGCACAAGTACATCAAATAAACTGTAAACCACTGAAGAAGTAGTGACTGATTTGACAGCTCTGCAGCAATGCACTCTGGGACTTTTTTGTAGACATTTAAAGACGTTATTATTCAAACATTTCATCTGCAGTTCTTAATCCTGTAGTTTATGCATTCATGGATTTCATAAGTGGATTGAAATGGGACTGTCCCTTTAAGCAAACAGAAGATCAGCTGTTAGAGTTTCTCTTATTTTTATACTCTGAATCCAATCCATTTATGTTTGCTCCAATAAAACAGTAAAACTGTAAAGTGTGATTTATTTATTTATTGTCGGACATTTTGAAACATGAACAGTCAAATAAAAATATATATTACAAATAAAAACTACAGAAATAAAAGATGTTCATCATTTAGTGAATACCAGAAGAATACAAAGTCTTTAATCAACTTCATTATGCCCCGAGCACCGACGTAGTCGGAGCGGAGGACCTATTGTTTTTCAATTGTTTGTTATTATTATTATCTCGTGTCTTTCGTCGCAAAAAGGAGGTGCTTGGGATACTGGAAAACTTTTGAAATTTGGCACGCAAGCCAGAATTTATTGGTTCGATAGCTCGATAGCGCCCCCTATTGAGTAGCCCCAACATTGGGTTTCACCTAGCTGTATGAAATTTGGTAGATATGTGGATCGTGATGAGACGCACAAAAAATCCTCTTGGAGTTTTTCATCAAACCAAACAGGAAGTCGGCCATTTTGAATTTCATGACGTTTTTTGACCATTTCAAGGCGTCATACTTTAACGAACTCCTCCCAGAGATTTGACCTGATTGACTTCGGATTTGGTCAGTATGCTCTTGAGACCTTGGCAGTGAAAAGTTACTCAAAGATCAAAAAGTTATCGAACTATGTGTCCGTGGCGTGGCGTCAAAAAAACACCATTCACCGCGAAACAGGAAGATGTTGTAACTCGGCCGTACATTGTCGAATCTGCTCCAAATCTCTCATATGTCATAACATCCTGACCCGGAACACATCTATATGATAATTTAGAATCATAGTAATAGCGCCACCTAGTGTCAACTGTAAGTTGTAAGTTGTGTACTTTGACATCCTGCTCCTCACAGATTAATCAGATCCCTCTAAAATGTTGTCAGAACAGCCTTAAGACCTTGATAATGCTTCATTGTGAAAATCGTAAGAAGTTGTTGAAGGGCGGCGACGTGGCGGTTCGGCGAATTTCGATCCTTCGCCATGAACGAATAAACTGATGTAACTCGACTCCACATCATCAGATCTTTACCAGATTTCACATGTTTGATTAGACTCCAGGCCTGAAGACATCTGCAGGCCAATTTTGAATCAGTCATAGCGCCACCTACTGGTAACAGGAAGTTAAAGTCTTTATACTTTGGCTTGTTTCTCTTAGTAGGTAAATCAAATCAACATCAAATTACTTCCACACAAATATAAGAAGTTCATAATACCAGTTCATGAAGCTTTTGATGTTTCGTCGAACGCCGTTGCCGTGGCGATGCAGTCTTCGCCATTAACAACGAAGGTAATTTTGAGAGGCTAAAAATGCTCGAAACATAAGCAAACTTGGCAAGTAGATTAAAAGCCCGAAATGTAGTTATAAAATATGATTTTATTGGTTCAGAGTGGCAAATCGGCTCAATAGCGCCCCCTACAAAATTTCAACGAAGCAGCCCTCGCAGTATGTTTGACCTAGATGTATGAAATTTGGTAAGCAGATGTATCATATGTAGACTTAAAAAAAAGGTCCCAGGAGTCTATGCTCTAAACCCAACCGGAAGTCAGCCATTTTGAATTTTGTATGAATTTCTAGTGTCGTTTTTTGCAATTTCCAGGCGCTGTGTATGATGGTGACAGAAATGCACGGCTGCGTCAACCAGAGTCCTGCCAGTACACTCAACATGCGTGAAGTTGCGAGGGCCCGATCAATGCTGCTTGCAGCTTTAATTATTATTATTTTTCTCTTGAATGATACGCCTTTTTTGCGGCGATGGCACTGATTTAACGAGTAAATGGTGCATTTACATGCTCTGCAGATGATCCCGTTTCCGGAGTTGGGATGAGGTTGTCTCCGGTGAATTTGAGTTTAAAGTTGAAAATCTGCTAACAACGTACTACGAAGCAGTGTCGTTAATGCTTAGAGCATTAAGATTACGCATTGACTACGTTATGTAGTGCAGCCAAGGCGCTGATTGAACGAGCGAGGACAGATGGTAGCATTAGCTGTCGATCCTTCGTACTATACACTATACTACTATAGTATAGTTGAGTGTCATCTAGAAACTGCTGGCCCTGATGGCCAGTATAGGTAATGCGAGTTTAAGGCACTTCCGTCATGGCTTCATTTTCAGAACCGGAGGTTGCTGCCTGGCTAACACGTATCAACTCAAAGGAACATATTCTGTGAAAGAATCGGTCGGCCCTTCACGACTGTCTTTGGGCTCGAGGATTTGGGTGAATTGCCCCTTTATCAGATGCGCCGATGTCGCAGAGTTTGGTGTGCGTGATGACGTCATCAGGAAGAGACCTGGTGTGGACGTAGCGGTGAATACGAGGAGCTGATTTGAGAGCGTTGAAACTACTGCTTTGTTTTCTGTTCTAAGATAAGAAATTCCTTTATCTTTTAGCTTCTTTGAGGATGGCTACGGCCCGATTGTAATTTCTTGGAGCGTGGTTATAATGGGACAATGTAACTAATGTTACCGGAGTAGTCGGGTCGATCGAGGTGATAGTTTGGGAAGCACCAGGAAAGATTGTGAAGCAATTTTACAATAGTTCTAATTAAAATTTAATTTAGATCTTTAGGTCCAAGCTTATTGATCAGCTTTATTAATATTTCTATCTAAGATTATTATATTATCTGACTTAAATTGATTTTGCCTAGAAACATCAAACTCATTTACATCTTGAAGTTGTATTGTTTCACCTGACGGGTGTGACGGGCAGATTCGAAGTCAAGTTTTATGAAGTGCTGTGTGTTCCTCTGTGGGCCTCTCTGATAGTTCAATCAGGAGAGACAAGTCAGATGAAGAAAATATCATTATTCATTAATAACAGGTGATTATGTGATGATAAAGTCTTGACAGAGTCTTTGGCGCTTTGACTCTACAGGGAGATTTGTAATGGAGGGGCGTCTGCCCTGAGCAGCTGCAAGATAAACCCCCCCCGTGGAGTCCAGACAGTGGTGGTGGCTGATGGGGCTGATAGGGTGATGAGTTGATGAAGCTGATGAAGATTGGGCGGAGATGGGGAGGTGAAGGGGTGTGTAACAGCAGCATGAATGTACTGAAGGTAGAGAGACAATCACATTTAAAAAGAGACAGCAGCAAGAAAATGTGTGAGTGAAACAGCAGGGGAAGAATCAATGTGGTAAAGTGCACTCGTCAGACCTGGCCCTGGGTTAACACATGAACCTATTTCAAAGTTTATACCTAGCAGGCTGTGGATTTGTGACCTAATGCTCCCAAGTGTCAAAGCAGTTGTAAGTAACTGTCAGCTGAGAAATGGAGTCCTTTAACATGAACAAACGACCGGCACCCTCCACAACCCAGAGTCTCAGACAGGTTTCAGACTAATTGCATTTGTGATTTGGTCTGACGATGTCAGGCGACAACTTAGCCACACTCTTGAACCAACTACTCCTCCACTTGTCAGTGAATCACCATTTCCTGGGAGAGTACAACGGCCTCAGACATAGCGGTGCTGACTGTTATCCTGACTGCTTCGCACTGACCGGACACAACCCAGGCAAAGCCCATCGCTCAACAAGAACAGGCTTGACTTCCAATCAAGGATGAAAACAAATGTCTCACTCTGGTTGTACTAGGACTGAATGTCTTGTAGTAACGACACTGTTAGATAACCCCACAAGATACTCTGGGGACACGGTCATCCATCTACAAAAGACATGTAGAGTAGATTTGCTAGCTCCCATGATCCCTCTGGTATAGGGTGTATACCAGTGGCGGGCTGTGCATTTTAAACCTGGGCCTTCACTGCTGTCCTACAGCTGAAATACCACCTTATAACCACATGATGGCACCACAGTTATTATTCTTTTCTAACTAAGTACGTATTCGTATTAAACCGTTCGGTACAAGACTTACAATACGTTTGAATAGTACTAGAGCATTTGGAAAATGCAGAAGCTTAAATTCAAGAAAATATAATGGTTTCTGCGCTCATGGAGGACAGTGGTTCTCAGCTGGTCTGGCTGTGGGACCCACCACCACTCCTTAATGACAAGTCACGGCCCAAAGAGATCGTCTTATGATTTTACTTTCACAACTTGGAACATTGTACGTACTGCTCTGCAACGTCTTTCCTCGTCTCAGTCATCTGTGTCATGGTGTGTGGTACATCTCACTCAGTCAGAATGCCCATATTTGATTGGCTGAGCTGCATCACGTGATGTGATTCACAACGCAGACTAAGCCTCTGCTGTTAAGTTTCGTTTCACGATAGTCACGTGCTCGCCCACTGACCAATCACAGCACATTCTGCACCTCGCGGCAGAGGTGCAGAGTTCCAATAAGCTGCACTTATTGGAAGTCACTTTGGATAATCAGAGGCTTTGCTGCAGTGATACAGACGGCGACACGCTCGGGGTCAATTCTTACTGAAGTCAACGCAGGTTTACAGTACTGTACAGTACAGTATCGGTTAAGGTCTTCTCCAATCACAAACCGTGGGAGGATAAAACAATCCACTGAAGACGCACACCTTAGAGGTAGAGAGGGTCATTTTCCAATCAGAATATCGGCAGTTCAATCCACCAGTTCGCATGTCAAACTGACCGTGGGCAAGATACTAAACCCCAAATTGCTCCCAAAGGCTGAGCCATCAGTGTGTGAATTAGTTTATGGTCCTTGCATGGTAGCTTCGTCCATCAGTGTGAATGGGTGAATGTTGTAGCGTAAGGAGCTTCTTTTTTTTTTAACTCACTTTTTATTTCGTTTTCAACAACATAACAACATGCATTTTCAGACAGGTACTTTCTTTGTCCATTTTTCAGTTGTATGTAGTCTTGGTGCACATGGTATTCAGGTACAATGTACAACGCACAGAAGGAACAACAAACATCAGATGGTGCTCACTCCAAGAGAAAAGAGGGGGGAAATAATAAGAATAGATAATTGATTACATGCATTCATAATGAAATAAAATAAAAATAAAAACAAGGGATGAAGAAATAACAATTGTCCACTCCTGAATGTAGTATTGTAGGTGCTATATATGCTTTTCAGAGAGGATGGTGTATAATGTGCGTGTGTATAGAGAGAGTTAACAGGTATCAGTTCAACCAGATCGAGCAACATATAGTAATAACCCTCATTGTATTAATAATGCTATGACAGGACCCCATCGTTTAGTAAAGACAGGCTTTTGGAGCCTTAATGAATATGTGATTCGCTCCATTTGATAGATGTCCCATACTTTTTGGATCCATATATCCTATGTAGGGGGATCTGGTT